TGTCAGCATTTTGGAAAACCCTAACTTAACTCTGGTGCCGTGTCACATATAGAAATTTTTTGATATTTGCAACCATAGTAAAACAAAGACTTATATTTTTGATATTTATTTTATATATTTAAATGCCATTTAACAAAGAAAAATCAACCAAAAAAATGAGTTCACGTGTCACCTCTGACACGCGTGTCATAGGTTCGCCATCACTGGCCTATGTAATACTTTCAACAATAAAGATTAAAAAAAAAAAGAAGAAGAAGAAGAAAGAAAGGAGACTGGGATTAAGATCTCTTGGGTCTCTTTCTTATCGACCTCCTTGGGTGTCTCTGATCAGCAACGCTAGGAGATTTCCCAGCTCTAGGTACCATTGAGGTGAAACGCTGGGATTCTCGGGCCTGGCAGTGGCTTCCCTCAGCTTTGTATCTCACTGCCAAGGGAAGCCCACCCAGCACAGCAGGCCCATGCATTCCTCCTTCCCAGTCTGCAGGCCCTCAGACTGTCCTTTCTTCTGTCTGCCTGTATTCAGTGATTTGAGAAGGAAAGAATGCATAATAAGCAGAGTAAAATGCCTCTGTGTGAGGGAGGGATGTCATTTATGGCGTGTCTGGTTACATGTTTTGGGTGAGAGAGGTAAAATACAGACATCAGGCCTGTCCTGGTCAGACCTTGGACACCACTGTCTTACATGGTCCCGGACATAGTAGCTGCAGAGACCCTCACAAGGAGGAGCCTTCGAAGTGCGGTTTTATCGAATTGCCTGGGTGATTATGTCCTTCAGGCTTTAACATTTGGACTGGCTCCCAGAACCTGAGCTCCCCGCGCTCGGCTCAGTGAGGGAATGCTGGAAATCCTTACTTCCACTCTGCTGTTCAACGACTGAGGGCTGGTCTCTGGCGTGCAGAGGCATCAGTGTGTGAGTGAAAGAAATGTTCAGCTTTTCTGGTGATTCACTATATGACTACCCAGAAGTCGGGGTATTGTCCTTTCTCTTTCAAGAGTGGACTTGACATTGCCGGGCATCAGGTTCTCTGTGACAAGGGCCTGTAGAATAACCCAGAATTCCTCCAGTGGAGTTGTGAGATGGAAGGCCAAAATCGTGTTCTATGCTTTCCTGGCACTGGACTTGGAACCAGAAGGCCTGTCCCTACTGTTTACCGTGTTATCTTAATTTAAGAGGCCACTTTGAAGCTCAAAGTTTTAGTTTTTGAATCTATACAATGGGATTAATCACAGGGCTGTGGTCATGTACCCGAGAGAGAGAACATTTGTAGATGCACTCGATTCACACAGTGCTGTCCTCTGCACGTGTGAGGCTTCATTTGTCTCTTTGGGTGTGTGTCTTAGAAACCTGCTCTATGAACTGTCAGAAGACATCGACTCAGAGAACTTGAAGGGCATGATCTTCATTCTGAAGGAGTCCTTGCCGAAAGTCGAGACGCCGGTGAGTGGGTCATACAGAGTGGGGTCCCTGTGAGCATCGCTTTAATCTGCGTTTGGGAAGATGCTGGGGAGGGTTTTCAAGATGGTGTATTTTTTGTGGGAGACAATATCATCAAAGGTTAGGAATATCGACGTTGGTGTCGAACGGGCCTGGATTCTAGTGCTGATTCTGCAACCAATTTCTCCATATGTGAGGCTAGTGATCGAAGATTTCTGAGTCTCCATTTTCTCATGTACCATGCCAGCTCCTTCCAGCACTGTTGAGGGGATTCAAGAAAAGAATGTACACGAGGCATGAGCATAGGGCCCGTATTTGACAAACAGTAACCGTGCAGTAAGTGATTAGCTGCTACTGACATCCACTATGTTTTATGATACAGAAATGTCCAGGGCACAGCCAAGAAATGAGGAGGTGGGGAAAAAGGCAGAGTGGGACTCATCGCTCATCACCTACACTAATCGAGGTGTCTGAGGGAACCGTGTGTCCTTTCCCGTGGACTTCACAGGGTCTCCCATGTAAGGTTTCTGTGGAAATCAAATGAAACAGTTTGAAGATGTGCTTTGCAAAGAGCTATATAGGTGCTTTGAACTAATAGTGATGCTTTTAATGTTAATATAATGCTCTTTGCTAATATTCGTACTGTATTGGTCACATTTGCTAGTATTCTTGCTATATTGGCGGGAAGGTAGTTGCGTGTCTCTCTTCTGGGCCTCAAGACTTTATATTTTCTCTTTGGACTCCAGTAGCAGCTTGTGGCAAGCAAGTTAGTTGATTTCTGAAGGGACCAATTTTCAAACTTTACCTGTAACATGACTATGTGTTATTTACCTGCTCCTTTAATTAGATTCTAAGTTGTATAACATTTCATAACATACAAAAATACATGTGGCATATGGAAGTTATGAAATGTAGCACTAAGCGAACAGCCATAAATTCCCCCATTCAACTTATGAATGAGAACCTCACCAGTTCTCTGAGCCTTCATGTGTGGCCGCCATGTCACATTCTCTCTGAGCAACTGATATTAAATAACTTAAAAAAATAACCAAGGAATGGGAAGCTGTGTTACATGTGGTAGGTCAAATGAAGACCATGCTAGTAATTCATTAAACATGTTTCTTGGTGTCAGACCTATAGACCTGAGCAGGTTATGTCTCTGTTTTGGCCATAATCTTTGAGTCCTTTTTTCCCCTTTTCAGAGCCCTCAGGGATTTAAGCCTTTTGTGTCCTTTGATTGGTTATCTCTAGAGGTCCTTTTCTCCCAAAGATTGGTTGTGAGTTCCTTGGGGGTGGGGCTGAGCCTACTCATCATTATCACCCCAGAACCTTGTGTTGCAATCTACCCCTTTCTCTTTCCTTTTGGAAAAAAAAAAAAAAAAGCCTGAACTTTCTGTTTATGTGATTTTACAATGAATAACTGGGGGGACTGGTAGGATGAACTAAACCTCCATGATGCGGGGTGTGCAAAGATATATTTATGGCATTCTCGTTGTTGCCCCTTGTCAGAATTTTCTTCCTTAGATAGCCCTGGGAGTTTTGATAGCTTCCTGTTATTGTGTTATTTTTTTAACACTTTTTTTGTTGTTGTTTTGTTGTTACCTGAGGACATTTTTTTCCATTGATTTTTAGAGAGAGTGGACACACAGAGAAACTTCGATGTGAGAGAGACACATCGATTGGTTGCCTCCAGCACACACCCTGATTGGGGCGG